ATTAGTATATAATATTTTTATGACCTTTTTTTGACATTTTGTCTTTTAAATAGACGCACAAGGGTTAAGAGCAGACCATTAAGTAGCAGCCATCATCTGTCCTGTCCAGTCGTGGTTTCACACACATTCAGTTCAGATTCATCTGGCCGACTCGTGATTGCTTTTCTAGTTTTAGTGCAAAACAGACAGACTATTAAAACCTGAACATAGTGAGGTGCACACGAACGGCGGACTTCATTCATGAAACATGAGCAAAACGCATTTCTGACGCGCTTAACAACCATTTCTACGAATGAAAAAAATGAGCGATTACAGAACAATTTGTGCACATATTTTGTGTCATGAATATCGAAACTTGTTTCTGCCACAGGATTTAAAAAAAGGTAATTGCAACTTTTTTTTGTTTTTTTTTTACAATTCAGACTTTTTTCTCAGAATTGCAAGGTAAAAAAAATAATAATTATAATTCAGACTAATTCTTTCAAATTCTTTTTTTTTCACCACAGAATTTTTTTTCTCAGAATTGCGAGTTTATATCTTACGATTCTGACTTTTTTCTCAGAATTGCGAGTTTATATCTTACGATTCTGACTTGCGAGTCAGAAATTGCAAGTTTAAATTGTGCGCTTCTGTGTTTATATCTTACGATTCAGTTTTTTTTCTCAGAATTGCATTTATAACTTACGATTCTGACTTTTCTCAGAATTGCGAGTTTAAATTTTGCGGTTATATATTGCGTTTATATCTTGAAACGTTTTTACTTAGAATTGCGACTTTTTTTCTTAGAATTGCGAGAAAAAAGTATGAATTGTGAGATGAAAAAGTTGCTAATACCTTTTTTATCTTCTTTATCCTGTGACGGAAACAAGCTTCCGTGCACGAATGAAGTCCGCTGGTTCTTACTGTCAACATCATTCTGTCCTTAATAAATACCAAACATACAAAAAAACACATTCAAATCAGTGAAACTCCTCCGTGAGTTTGTTGTTCGGTAGAGGCCATTCGAAAAATAGAGCTCCTTTCGCTGAATGCAAGTTAAAATAACATTTTCAGTTTGTTCAATGCTAGGAATCTTCACCGATGCTGGTTAATGAGGCGTTTGACACATTACCACGACATCAGTCGCGTTTCACCGTTAAAAAGCTCTTCGTTCGGCCGTTCTTAGAAAATGCCGTCATGACGTCCTCACGCCATTGGCTGTGCTGTTGCTAGGCACCGAGCCGTTGCCGGGGTTAACGACCTGGTGAAGGGGCGTGTCCTGAACTCGCGAATACTCCCTGACTTCGGTCCTGGCCAGTAAGTGGTGCTGCTCTCCGGGGAGGATGGGCCGCCGCAGAAGCCCCTCCCCCTCAGCGATAGTCTCGGGCAGTGGTTGGCCGGCGGTCTCCGGGAGCAACGGTATGCAAATGATGCAGAGCAGAGTGCAGCAGGTGAGGATCACGTGATGCAGAAAGAAACCCTTTTGATTGTGGAGCTCCATCAGCGGCGCCGTTAGCATGCCGAAACCCGCGCTTGCCAGGACCAGACCCACACCGCCACCCCTGTAACGACGAACCGAGAGACAGCCGTCAAAACACGTTCAACACCATCAGGTAATTAGTTAAAGGTGCAGTAAGAGATGTCTCAGAAACGCTGTTGACAATGGATCGGACCGAGCACAAAAACACGCTTGTAGCCAATTAGCAGTAAGGGCGTGTCCAGTCGTGATGGGGGAGGTGCCTGTGTTGCATCACATGTTAGTTAATTTGGGGGCGGAGCTATGGAGATATGGTTGTATCCATTTGTTTTGGGGACTTCAAATATCAACAGTGTTTCTCAGAAATCGCTTACTGCACCTTGAATACTGCAATTTTATAATTTCATTAGTGTTTGCTAGGTCAAGCATGCAAGTATTAAAAACATGAATGATTCCTTGGTAACACTTTACAATAAGGTTCCATTTGTTTACATTATTTAATATAAACTAACAATGACTAACGAAATGGTTAAGGTTAATTTAAACTTTTACTAAAACCAGGGTTAGTGTAGGTAACTAAAACCATAGAGAACATTTTTGTTTCTTGACATAAAATAAACATTAACTGAAATAAAATAAAATGCATAAAATCTTTAACTTTTTTTTTCAGGTTGTTGCCAAAGCAACATGTAATTGTGCTAAAATAACTAAAACTGAATAAATTACAACAAAATAAAAAAATATGTAGACATATTTAAAACATTTTTAAATACTAATAAAAATGTCAAAAATGCACAATAAAATAACAAAAATTGTAAGTAAAAATAAAGTGAAAAAAATATATTTAAAAAAAGTTAAGGAATGTGTTAAAAAATTGGAAATAGAAAATAGAATCTAATTCAAAATATTAACTAAAAACTTTTTTGTTAAAACGAATAAATAAAACTTTATAGCAAAAATAAAATTTCTCATTTTCATTTAGTTTAACTTGAATTACTAAAATAACTAAAACCTAAAACAAATTAATAAATAAAAATGTATAATAAGTGTAAAGAAATATAAAAAATGAATAAAAATGACAACAACTACAAGTAAAGTAAAAACAGAAAACATAAAAATACGAACTAATTTAAAATATTAACAAAAACGTCTCTGGTTACTTATGTAACCATGGTTCCCTGAGTAGGGAACAAGACACTGAGTCCTCTAGGGGTCGCTATGGGGAACACCTCGTCGTGACCCGTGTCTGAAGCATACATTGAAAAAACACCAACTCATTGGCCGGCGACAGCCATGACGTCACTACCGGTGCGACTATAGTATAAATAGGCGCCGGGAGCACACATCATTCTCTTCTTCGTCTGAAGCTTGCGTCCGCAGCATGGCAAGAAACCTAGAGGACGCAGTGTCTCGTTCCCTACTCAGGGAACCATGGTTACATAAGTAACCTGAGACATTCCCTTTCATGGGAACTTCGAACTGCGTCCTCTAGGGGTCGCTATGGGGAACAGTATACCTACGCCACCATGCTGAGGGGAGTGCAAGCCAGAACCATGGCGAGCACTAAGAACCAACTCTACCATATTGCTATGGGAGTTGCCCCTGGGACGTTTACACCTATGCCTCCCGCTCGATGCCTCAGCAAGAGGGGATATGCTGGTGATTGGGAAACCCCTCAGGGCGACCCAGATACGGTAGACCCTGTCAGGGTAGCATGAAAGCGTAACCCTAGCCCGGACGTCCAGGAAATTTTTGCAGTAACGCGCCGGGGGCCTGATGATCACGAAGGCTCCCGCAGAAGCCTGTGTTATGGCTGCATGATCCAGGAAGTATGAAGCCGAAAACCGGCTTACTTACCGTCTGGACATATATCGACGAGTGAAATAAGCACTGCAAGTCGAGCACCCAGTTTCTGAACCCAGCAGAGGGGGTGCCCATCGAGGACCTACCCTAGAAAGGGACAGAAACACACAGGTCCCGGGAAACACTGCAAAGAAACTAGCAGAAGGGTTATACACACA